AAACCTTCTTAGTATCTCTCTTTAATCGTATTCGCAACATTTTCATTCATGTTCATTTATTCAGCGTGGAAAGGCAAATAAAAACTTCGCGAACTCCGTAGCACTCTCTAAATCAACTCATCCAACTGATCTATCTAGGCCAAATAATTAGTTACTGCTCACGTTCTACAATCTCATTCCCCTCCTCTTATCTAACAGTCGATACTGTACAAGTTGTTTTTTTTTTCTTCATGTTTATCTGAAACAATCAGCTGCGGAGTTGATATGATTGCACATGCTTTCCTTTGTTGTATGTTCGCATTTCGTACTGATAAAGATGATGAAAATGGTTTTTATTGTTAACCATTTTACTATTATTATTGCCATTACCAGTACTTTAATAATTTTATATTGCTGGTATACCTTGTTCTTGCTAAAGCAATCCTTCAACTATACTGAGGGATGTCAAACGTTTTGAAGTCATGTCTCATAAAATGCCACTCGGTGCCTTTTAAATAGCTTACCTTACAAAAAATCTTAGAAGCATGAGGCAGCATGTTTAACGATCATTTGCTTGCAAGAGGTAAGAAGAAAACCAAACCAAAAAAAGTTTTTCTTTCCAAACGATGTACGAGTTAATCTTTCCTTTTGTGGTCTTTCCCGCCTGAAACTTGACTAGTCTGCTTTGCATATTTTTTAACCATCTGCATATATTCACATGTGAGACTTTTTCTTCTTCAAGGTTTTGTTTTCGGTGGTGATGTACTCCGGTTCTTCCACGGTGGAGATGAATGCCTCACAATCCCCTCATCTTGGTCCGAGTTGCCGGGTCAAAAGTGAGCTTATTCTTATGACTCGTCTTTCTTTTTACTCATCGAAATAATTCCAGATAAAATCATGCATTGATATATTGTGACGTGGTACGCATACATAGCATTGTGACTTACGAGGGAGGAGCGGTAACGAGCCAAGCTAGATCTCTCTGGAGACTGGAATTGGCCCGAACGAAGTGGGCTGGAGGATTTGTGAATTGGTTCCATCCTATGAGAATCAGGCATATCACGACCGGCAGATACCTTGCCATGGGGACTAATAACGAATTGGTTCTTCGAACTCCAAAAGAGTCTGATCTTGCTGCTTCCACCTTCTACCTTCGACAGGAAAAGGATGACAGCAAGGTAGCTTGAAAGCAATTTGAAAGCATATTCATTCTACCCTTCTCATATGCGAGAGGATTCTGGAACGTTTGCTTTGATTTTTAGGTGATACTGGAAGATAAGGACTTGGAAGTGCCAGGTTCTGCTCTCATCAAGTACGGAGACTCTACTGTGATCGTCCAGCACGTGGATTCCGGGCTGTGGCTCTCGTATAAAGTTTGTAGTTTTCGTTTTCCAATCCGGATGAGACAGGGACGAATCGTTTCAATCTCACTCCCTCCCCCCCCTTCTTGCGTATTACAGACGTACGAGACGAAGAAGAAAGGAGTTGGGAAAGTGGAGGCAAAGCAGGCCATTTTGCACGAGGAAGGGAAGATGGACGACGGGTTGGAATTTTCCAGGTCCCAGGAGGAAGAATCTCGAACCGCCAGGGTGATCCGGAAATGTGGATCAATCTTCAATCAGTTCATCAAGTACGTAGACCTTCGGAGAATGCTCTAGAATCTAGATGAGACTCGTAGTTGGACTGAGGGAGCTGCAGGCCTGTGAGGAAAGAGCGCCGTCACCTGAAATTCCAGGTCAATAATAGGACATGGGTGATTACAGTAATGTCTTTGATGAGAGCCTTTAAAGGATGAATACTTAGCATTCTTCGACATTGAAAAAATCACTCAACTCGGGTTGCAGAAACTCAGACTCGAGAGGGAACATTCTACTGAAAGGGTGGAAGACCTGCATTTGCATTTTTGATCTAATGAGTGATTTAATTTTTGCCCACTTCTGAGAAAGCAGAAAATCGATCCCTATAGGGCTTCTTCAACGGAGGCTCTACAATCTGCCGTATAATGTTACATCTCAATCAGACGAATCCATGTTGCAGTGCTTTCCGATTGAATGATTAACCCTAAACCCCATTTTATCCCTTTCAGACCTGCCGTCCATTCCGTTGTACATTGCATTTTCATTGTGGTAATTTCTTGGGATTCTCATGACTTTGCGCCCCATATTGTACTACAATGGGCGCAATTATGCATGACTCATTTCCATCGGAGGCCTTCTTACACCCGTCAGTTTGTAATATTCAGTTATATAATTGAATGTATAATATATTATATATGGTATGATATGGTAAATTTATACAAAATATAAAAATGATATATAAAACATAAACATTTAAATTACAATAGCGAAAGAGCTCACAAATGCAAAAAATTATACGAGGGTATTATTCTGATTGTGGCCTTAATTCAGGTCTGAAAGGGTTAAGGTAAAGAGAAAGGGTAGGAGCAAATTCTTCGGACAGCGCCGTAGAAGATTTTGATTCGTGTAGTGCCATGTTATCCTGTAATGAGTTTCTGTTCTATCGGAACCGGGAGCATGCTGCTTCAGCGTGAATTAGTTTCTTCGTCATTGGATGCTCGATAGGATTCCCTTCGATTCGATATCCTGGGTCCATCCAAGCTCTCTATCACTTACGTGAGGAAGATAGAGAGTTGAGTCTGGGAGCCTCAGGAAAACTCTTCACTCTCGGAAAAGAACGTCTTCCCTTCTTCCAACGAATGGAAAGTAATAAGTAATGGGGAGACGATTCATCCATTTCCCTTTATATTGCCATATTCGTCTGATTTAAAGGCGTGTCAAGACATCGGCTCTCCTCGAATAAACTTCATCACAACTTGCACAGCTGCCTATGCTTTTTTGCCCATGCCTCTTGAGGAGTTTTACGCAGGATTGACGGAGGAGTGCAGTCGATATCACGCTGATTATTTTTTAAATAACTGTGCGCTTGAACGACCAGGTTTTGTACATTAGGACTGTCAAGCTAGAGCAATTTCCGCCTCGATATCTGTGATTATTCGAACAAATCATCATAACGAGAATAACGATATCTAAACACCTATATTAAGTGGAATAGAACCATCCCTTCCCCAGACCCCAGTGATATACGCCAAAAAAGCAGGGGGGGAAGAGGAAATTCCAATTCTGTCTTAATTGATAAGTTTTCCTGTCGTTGCTGCGTCTCACACCTGTTCCCCGGCCATCGTTTCAGTCGATTTATAGGCGTCTCATGGTCGATTTCCCTTTCTCGATAGAGAAAGAATGGGATGTGAGAGGATCCTGGTGCTTCCAAGAATTCTTTTCCTTCATGCAGTCTAATGGTGCTACGATAAAACGGCCAGGCCATTCTTTTCCTCCTTTTCAGAGTTAATTAATCGAGCCGCATTAAAAAGTTCCCAGAACCCCGGATCGTGCATCATTGAAACAGGTGTAAAGTCAGAAGCTTCAAAATCAGGGACCACATAGGATTGTAGAATGTTTATTCCATCTTCATAGACGTCTTAAGTTTGGCCATCTCAACAGCGCCAGAGCAGTTTTCTTTTGACCTCTAAACGCGCCTCACTTTTCAAGGGCTTGTGGGCCGGTCAACTTCAACTCTGAAACGTCCGATCGAAGGCAAGAAGGAGACGAGTGATTTTCTTGTGGTCAACTAGTTCCCCCTTTAACCCTGTAACTACCAGAACACGGATGTTCATATGTTTAACTCTTTTCTTCATCTCTTCATTCCCGAAGGATCTCTTCAAAATACGTTGCCTAATTACTATCACATTTCTTCATGAAAATACATTGAGTATCAGGTTTTTCAAGTTCACGGCGCAGCCAGCACAAATAGCTAAGTTTTTTATCGGTCTATTGGACCCAGAACGATAGTTACAGGGTTAATGAGTGTGAAAAGGTAGAACGAGGTATCACGTCCCTCAAGACAGTCATCTGGTGCGAACAGAATAAGAATCTTGCTAGTCGAAGGAGATCGCAGTTTCTAACGGAACTAGCGGCCTGCGGCCGCTACGCTGGCCGTCTATTAGACGGATATTTGAAAATGTTTACATAAAGATATGAAGCACTTCGGTTCAAACCTAACATTAANTAAGAATCTTGCTAGTCGAAGGAGATCGCAGTTTCTAACGGAACTAGCGGCCTGCGGCCGCTACGCTGGCCGTCTATTAGACGGATATTTGAAAATGTTTACATAAAGATATGAAGCACTTCGGTTCAAACCTAACATTAACAATTTTAAAACAAACCTAGAGAAGTTCGAAAGTGAAAGATTAAAAGTATACCAAAGTTTTTATGGTCTAGCCCCTGGCCTAGAATGGCATATCCTTGGCTTTGCGCGGTAGGACGCGGACGAGTGAAAACCATTCACCACCGCTTTCAGCCCCTCTCAATTTTTATGGCCTAGCCTATGGGCCCAGAATGGCAGAGCCTTGTAGGCCTGGCACTTAAGGCCGTGGATGGCCTGTCTTATGGCCTAGAATGGCATAGCATCGTAGGCCTCGCGCGTTAGAGCTGATAGCCGCCACAACTTTCGGTCTCTTTCAATAAAATTATTAGATTAGCTAGGCCTACACTCTATTTCTTTGCCTCTCTTGTTTTTCATGCCACTTTCTCCTCAGTCCAGGTGGGTATTCTCTCCGTCTTCCTAAAGCCAGTCCAACAATGATTAAAGTGTCCAACTTTTGATTTCTCTTTTAATCGATTCTTGTTCTTTTTTTAATTGAAAAGGAGCCTGAATATGCTGCAGACAAGCCGGCGGCATTCGATGGTTTACAGCGAGTTCGACCTCGGGGAAATGATCATGTGTCTAGAGGATCTTATCAATTATTTCGCACAACCCGAAGACGATATCGGTAAAGAGATCTTCGATATACGAGGGGGGTTCAAGGTCCAATGACACTTTATTTTCCACACAAACAACAGATAATGCAAGGGCAGTGAAAATTTACATAAATGTTGCTGCAACACTCGGTGACATATAACCTGAAGATGAAGGGTGGATGAGAGTTCCTCGTAGAATAAAACAAGATGGCGTCAGGCACCATTACTTCGGCATTGGAACAGCGATGTGTAATCAAATTTCTGGTGAAGGAAGGTGTCAAGGTGGTAAAAATCCACTGAAGATTAACGTAACAGATTGGTAATGCTGCTCTTCCAAAGCGAACGGTGTACCGTTGGTGTGACGTTTAAAAATGGGCGTGAATCAGTTACCGGTGAGGATTGTGCGCATCCACCAGGCACAACAGACACCGGTATTGTGTTCTGGGAAATCTTGGGTGTGATTCATGTGGAATTTCTGGAGCGCCGTAAAACAGTTGATGCAAAGTACCACAGTGATCTTTTGGAAGGCAAAGTGCAGCAGGCGATACGCAAGAAACGCCCAGGACAACTGAGTAGAGGCGTAATAATTGTTCATGACAATGCTCGCCCTCATTCGGGGAACATAAGAGTCACAACCATAAACCGACGGGGTTGGGAGATTTTGGAACACCCCCTTACAGTCCAGATCTCTTCCCAAGTGACTTCCACATGTTAGGACCTTTAAAAATAAACATTTGTCTGGGTAGAAATTTAAGACAGATGAAGAGGTGTAGAATTGTGTCCTCCGTTGGCTCCAACACCAACCTTAAGACTTTTTTGCCGAAGCTCTATCCCGCCGATGGAAGAAATGTACACGTGTAAAGGGGGAATACATTGAAAATTAGACAAAGTTTCATGGATGTATCTCTTCTTGTGGCTTCTGAGGAAAATGAAGTGCCGTTGGACCTTGAACTCCCCTCGTATATGCTTAAATCACATTTATATTTTTCTATTCACGAGTTCTTGCATGCCTGAAATAGGTCACGAGGAGAAGCAGTTGAAGCTCCGGGCGCTGAGGAATCGCCAGGATCTCGTCCAAGAGGAAGGGATTCTGAATTTGATCTTGGAGGCCATCGACAAAATCAACGTAATTCAATCCCAAGGATATTTCGTTGCCTTGGCCGGAGAAGAGGCTGGACAGCACTGGGAGACCATCTCTCAGTACCTCTATCAGCTTCTCGGTATGATTAGGCCTATCCAACTTCGTGCCTCATCCAAAATCATAAGAACGTGAGAATACGACGGAGTGTTGGATAAACTTATTCGGTATGGGCCCGTAGCTGCCGTTATCAAGGGGAACCACACAAATTGCGCCCAATTCGCCCAGTCCAATCGCCTTGATTGGCTTTTCTCTCGCCTGGGCTCCCAAGCCGCCAGCGAAGGATCAGGGATGCTGGATGTCCTTCATTGCATCCTCATTGACTCGCCAGAAGCACTCAACATGATGACAGTGAGTATATCTTCCCTTTTTCCTTCCATCCTCGTTCAACTCACCGACTGTCTGTCCCCGGTTTCTTGCGGCCAAATTCAATTTAGGAGGAGCACATAAAGGTGATAATATCTCTGTTGGAGAAGCACGGAAGAGACCCAAAAGTGCTGGATGTCCTCTGTTCGCTTTGTGTCGGAAATGGAGTGGCAGTTCGGTCTTCTCAAAACAACATCTGTGACCACCTTCTGCCAGGAAAAAACCTCCTTCTTCAGACTCGACTAGTTGACTGTGTCTCAAGGTTAGAGGACATGATCTCATGTAACAGGCGAGAGATTCTTGATTTATCTCATCATCTCCATCAAATTTTTCTTCAAAAGTGTACAGCCAAACATTTACGTGGGGAAGGTGGAAGGGAGTGCCATGTACCAAAAGTGGTACTTTGAGGTGACGGTCGATCACCTGGAACAAGTTAGCCATCACTTACCGGTTTTAAGGATCGGTTGGGGCAGTATTGCCGGATTCATTCCTTTTCCTGGCGGTGGGGAAGGCTGGGGTGGGAATGGCATCGGCGATGACCTCTACTCTTATGCCTTCGATGGAGAGTCTCTCTGGACAGGTAAGAGGCCTTCGATGGAGAATCTCTCTGAACAGGTAAGAAAAACACTCATTTTTTTCTCGCTCGTTCTTTCCTGGGATCCAATGCCAAGATGAATGTCTTCAGGGGGTTATAGACTTCTATCAACGTCTTCGTGATAGCTGACGATTGAACTTGAGATCTCATCGCAAGAAATTCGATACAGTATGAAACTGAATTGTATGACAGGGAGAATGGATTGAAGCGGAACTGAGCTTTTACCCTTACTTGTCCAAGAGTGGGGGGGTCGTTTTGACCCAAAAAATATTTATGTTGTTTATGTGTTCTACGTTATTGATACAAATTCTGGAGAAAAAAAAAATCTAATTGTTGGTATGCATATAGTGATAGCTAAAAAATTACTTAGGTATATCCGTCTCGTGTTACTAGAACTGGCAACTCAAACAAAACTGCAAAAAGTTTGAAAGTCATGCTTTTTTCGTTGTGGGTTACCGTGGCCAAGTAAGGTTTAATAAGTCGCCATATGCACTCATGTAGAACATAAGATTCGTACCGAAGAAGAAAATCCGTAATTGTCCCTAACTTGCTCCTATTCAATGATGCAGACTATATAATGAAGAGCCTTTCTTGTTCCCTTGAGCCAACTGGTTCCACTTAAATGGTGAAAGGGTTCCCTTCCTGACTTGGGAGTAGGAACTTTCTTGTCTTGCACAGAGGAATCCCGAATGAGCTGGAACTCTGAGATCAGGACTTCAAAGACTATTGTGCATGATACATCCACAGTAATACCGTGAGAGAATCTTTAGACCTGGTAAAATGTGTTGGAAACTCGGGCAGGCGGGCACGCGGTTCGAGTGCTGGATAACTCGAGAAAGCCTCCCCTGCAAAAGGGCGACGTCATTGGCTGTGCCATTGACCTCACTCAACCTCAAATCGTCTTCACTCTCAACGGACAAAGGGTTCCCGGAGGATTCCAAGACTTCAACGACGATGCCATGTTTTTCCCCGTCGTCTCTTGTTCGGCCAAAGTCAGGTGAGATCTTTCCTTCCTGCCTGCCCTTCATTATTATCATGTCGTCTGTCATCCGTGATGCCTCCCTATTGCACCGAGTATCTGAATGAATTTCGAGAAGATACTTTTCATCCAACCTGACACTGAGATGACAAGGAATACAGATGAGATGTCCCTCCCTGGGAAACACATCATGAATACAAAATGAGTTTGGGAATATTTTACGTCGGTGCTTTTTTTTTTTTTCTTTTCGCGGCAGCTGTCGATTTTTGTTGGGAGATCACGAAGGGAGGCTGAGATATCACCCGCCGCCGTTCCACTGCCCACTGTCGCAAAGTCTCCTTCCAGGGCAGAAATTAATCGTGGAACCCTGCTTCCAATTTGGGGACCAGGCCAAAGCTGTCTTCTGTGGGCCGGCTTTCATTCAAGAAGATGCCGCTTTCGTTCCTCAACCTGTTGACACTTCCAACGTGAGATTCCCCGTCCATTCGTGGGCAAATCGACACATTTAAACCTGTAACAATGTCAGGATAGTTATATAATATTCTGTGGAATGGTAAATGCTGCAGGTGGTGCTGGGGAGTCACATCGAGGCGATTCGAGAGAAACTGGCCGAGAACATCCACGAGATGTGGGCAATGAATCGCATCGATGATGGGTGGATGTACGGAGAATATCGAGACGACGCGATGATGATTCATCCTTGTCTAACTTCATTCGATCGCCTGCCACCCGTGGAAAGGGAATACGATATCATGCTCGCCCACCAGACACTCAAGTCTCGCGCCCTCATTTCCTTTTTCCATAAAGAAAAAAAGCAAACCGCAAATACCGACTGAGGCAAAAAAACGCGCCGCTCTTTGAAAATAGATGGCGATTCCGAAACAGCATCCATCAAATACATAAGGTTTCTTTCATCCATACGTCAATGGATCCTTTGAACGTCTTGAAATTTTGTTTGTTTATCTCTAGCCGTTTTACTACATCAGCGATTTAATTAAAGACACTAGAATTGTATTTGTGTGCTCGCGCCTGGACGTCGACGGGAGGACCTGCCCCACTGACTTGGAATGGCAAATCTTTTGAAGAGCTTTTCCTCCTTGTACTTCAGAATACGCGAAACTCTGTCTAGCCTCTACGTCTGACAATTTGCTGATGGGATTTTTGCATCCTTGGATATTCTTCTTTAGAAACAATGCCTTCTACAGTTGGTCTCCCGTCCCTCCCCTTCCTCTCAGATTAATTAATTTCTCGCAGCTTGCGAATCAGTCTCTTAATGATAGGACTCCATTTCTTTCATTCCTGGGAAGGGATGAAAGAAAGGAAGTCCTATCTTGCAAACTTCTTACTCCATCCCATCCTCATGGACTGACGGAAGAGTTCTGACCTAAGATTAGTGCACACAACGGGTACCAATCACTCTCCTTCCGATACGTTTCCTCGCTCAAAAATCAAATTGGAGTTTTTCTTTGGTGCTGTCGCTCATGTGGTATAATGGCTCGAGAAAAATGAACGAAAATTATAGTAGGTTCAAAGGATATCTTGAAGCCAGAGCAAAAAACCTGCGTGCTAAATACTATCTCGTGCACTCTCTCAAGAATCTCAAAGAGCGGGGCATTTTTTTTTGCCTGAGTTGGTACACTCCTGTTGAGAGTGGAATCGAATTGATAATTTTGTTGAATATGGTCTGAAGGACGATAGTGGCCTTGGGATGGCACATTGGAAGCGGGAAGCCTTCGTCTCGAATCCGTACCCTTCATCTTCCCAAAGACCCGTTTCTTCAGGGCAACGGATACAAGCCTGCCCCTCTTGACCTGTCTGCTGCCACTTTGACCCCGAAAACCGAAGCCCTCGTCGACAAATTGGCCGAGAACACTCACAATGTCTGGGCTAAGGAGAGGATACAACAAGGATGGACCTACGGCGTCACCGAGGTTCTCCACTTTCTCAATTTTAGCACTTTCGGATTAAGACTTCTCGATAGATTTTCGTGATATTACATCTCCGGCTTCTGCGATTCTTCTTTTAGGACCCAATAGGTAAAAGGAGTCCTCATCTCGTCCCTTATGGAAGCTTAGATGAAGAGATCAAGAACGCGAACAGGTAAACTCGAAAAGAATTTGGATCGTCACTTTTTAAAGTTAATATCGATTATCTGCCGTTTTCGAAAGTAAGCGCGTTCTTACGTACAGAAACACGTCGAGTGAGATCGTCCGAACTATATTCGTCTATGGTTATTCCCTGGAACCGCCTGCCGGAGATGCTCAAGAGACTAGTGAGTGTTGAAACTGGAGGAAGAAAAAAGATATAGAGCTCTTATGAAACGATGTCATTCTCTGCATCTTTCTTAGATGTGTCATCCGTGAGCAACTTCAATTCAGACTCGAGGACCTACCGGGCCGAGAAGACATTCGCCGTGACGTCTGGAAAATGGTATGCGTGGGCTGGTGAAAGAGTTCCGGGAAAAAGTGACTTCATTTTGTCAGATCCCCATTATTTTTTCACTGTGTATTCTTATGTATCTTAGTAGCTCTTCCCTTTAATTTCAGATCCCTGCGATAAAATGGAGACTCGCAAGCAAGCGCGAAGTGAAACGAGTCAGAGGGTCTTGCCACCCTTGACGTGACAAACGCGGGGCAATTTTGGTGCAGTTTCGGCTGGGAAATTCGGCGGCACAGTGTTTCGAAACCCTTCAAAAGGCACTTGCGGACCAAGCTTCATCCCAGAGCACTGTCTACGAGTGGTTTGCGCGCTTTCGATCTGGCTCCTTCAGCCTCGACGACGATCCCCGTGAAGGTGGTCCAAATTTCACTGTCACTCCAGAGAACATTGTCTAGGAGTCGCTTCATGCTGGCAAAGACCGGCGGATCACCACCAGGGAACTAGAGAAGCTCGTTGGGGTGTCGCATGGCTCGGTCATCAAGATCCAGCACGAACATCTTGGGATGAGGAAGGTCTGTGCTGGTTGGGTTCCGCACCAGCTGAAACCGGATCACATGAAAGCTCGTGTGGACTTCTGTGAATTCATGCTTCAGAAATTCGACGGTGGAGCCTCTGAAGCTGTGAGAAACATCCTCACAGGTGATGAAACCTGGATCTACTTCTACTTCCCACTGCGTCCTCTGGTTCTTCGTCTCTGGGCCGAAACTGCACCAAAATTGCCCCGCGTTTGTCACGGCTCGTCAAGGGTAGCAAGACCCTCTGACTCGTTTCACTTCGCGCTTGCTTGCGAGTCTCCATTTTATCGCAGGGATCTGAAATTAAAGGGAAGAGCTACTAAGATACATAAGAATACACAGTGAAAAAATAATGGGGATCTGACAAAATGAAGTCACTTTTTCCGGGAACTTTTCCGGGAACCCACGTATTATATANAAACTGGTTTCACGTGATGCCAGCTTTATATCAGCAAAAGTCGCGATAACTGTTAGTGGCTGACATACTGGTTAAGTTGGCATACAGAACCGTGTACCGGTGTGGGTTTCTTGTACGTGATATTGCAATAATCAAGAACCAGAGGTTTATAGTGCATAGATTTTTAAAATTTAAACTGCTAGAAATCCACCAGCTTACTTAATACAAGGTAGATACAGTAATGCTTAATTCTTAGCCACAAAATTTGATTCAAGTGACTCAGAGTGACCCAATTTACCCATTATGGTCATTTTTGTCTCTTGCATCACTAGGTCAATTTGGGTCTCTTTTGGTCCTTTGAATCAGATTTTGTGATTGTGATTACGATTTCTTATGAGGTAAGTGGTTTGGTTCCAAGCACTGAAGGTAGGAAACAATCCCTTTTTGAGATTCCTTGAGTAAATTGTAGGAAACCCGCAGAAGCAAAGATAGCTAGTAAATGTATTTGTAAATTAGAAAACACTTCTACATTTACATTTACAAAACCTATTGTGAAGAATTTCATGTCTAAGCTTTGAAAGTTTCTCGAATTGACTCAATGAGGCTTACGATGCACTGGGATCTAGTGAAAGCTCATTCAAGCCAAATGTTGCTTTGTAATATTTGCAAATTAAATTAAATAGGGAGCGAAACTTGCTAGAAATCTCAAGTGCAGACGTAGGTTTCCTGTATTTTTAGTTTATCTACAGTTATCGAAAATTCAATTAACTGCTCTGAAACCTTTTTTCAGTTAAGAGAAGTCCTGGTAACTAGAGATAAACTGAAACTAGATTTGAACTAAACTAAACTACACTAAGACTGACACTATGTACAACGAATAAAATTAATGACAGAAACTCCTTAAATGTCAAACCCTGGAGGCTAATTTATTTCGGTAGTTTTGATAGTTTCCGATAATTTCAAAGGCTAGTGCTGGTGATCTTCAAGGATGTCTGTTTTGAACAGGATTGTTTTCCGATGGAGGCTATCCCTCTCATGAAATTCCCTCGTCGAAAATAATCTCCAACTGATAGTGATCTTCGTAGATTCTCCGAGGCACATGCTCAACTAGCACGTGCTCAACTGTGTCTCCAGGCCAAATACTGTATAATTTCTTTTGGAACTGTCCAAGTGAACGGGTTGGTAAAAGAGTCTGTCCTATACAATTGCATCGCAAGATCCTCGTCTATTCTTCTTGCAGTATTCCAATCCAATTTGAATGTGATCCCTGGAATGGATGGGAAAATCCTTTTTGCCGTGGGATGCGCAGAGGATGAACATTTGGAATTTATCTTGTCATTTTTGAGGGAGAGGAGGAAAAAGAAAAAGGAAGAAACCAGACCGTAAAGATGAGCAGACTTACCTGGTTTTCCCTTTGCGTTAACAGAACGACTTCATTAAAAAAAAAAAAGAATTCTCTCCGCGATTTTACCTCGAGATATTCGTGTCCAGACGAGAGTGGGAGAGGAGAGAGGAAAAAAGAAGAGACAGTGAATGCGAGGAGCCGCATCTGCAGTTTCTTGCCTCGGCAACGGATTGATCGATGACCTCTTTGCAATTCCCACTCATGAAATTCAAACCCTGCAGACGATAGGATGACAGGCTCCAGATCTGTCTTCCCCTTAAATTGATCGGATTCCATAATGTCATTCATTAAAACGAGGTTAACCCAGATGATCTGGACCCCATATGGGCTCATTTATGAAAAAAGATTAGATTCGTTTAATCAATTTGGCACATGACACCCAAGGGAAAAGGCAGAAATCCGTGATGTTCCCTGCTTTTCTCTTTATCTCTTTCTTGTTTTAGACTACACGCCTATTGACAAAGTCTTCCGGATGCAAATAAATTTGGCTAAACATTTCCGTCTGCACTCATGGGATATTCACTGCAAAATACAGGACGTACAGTATAAGGCGTCGAATGCAAGTCTCAAGGTAGAGCGTAAAGTGAGTAGCGCAATTCAAACGGGAATGTGGAACATCTCGACACTGGAGGACGAACAATTTTTTAAAGTATGCTTCACATCCCCGTTCGCTACGCACTCGTACAAACTCCTTTGTGACTGGTAATTCCCACAATACACTTCCTGCATTTTGTAGTATCACTGCCCTGGGCATTTTCTGCGCCAAAAACTAATCAATCTGCACGTCTCTTGCTTGGTGAACTTTATAAGGGAAGACGCCATCTTTTTGGCAATAATCCCAGGATCCAAAGCCTGACTGTGAATCACGTGCTGATAGCCCACCCCCTTCTTGGCGCATTACAGACTCGCAATTGCATTTTAACTTGTCAGCCACACAGACTTTCTGATTTTCATTTGGATGAAATTTCTCTCGCAATTGGATGGTGTCCTCTTATTCGTGTTCGGTAGGAAACAGTTAGATTCCCTTCATGGAGGGGGAGGAAGACCTGGGAAACATCCGTACTCTTGCTTCGAGAGTTGTAAGAGCTCTGCAGATAGGCCGCAGTTCCAACCTTCTTCTCTTATTGATGGCGTACTTATCAAGGCCATGTCATTGCGATAAAGGGTAGGAATCGCATTGACCGTCGAGTACATCTGCAGACGTCCAGTCTGAATGAGAGGAGGAGACAGAAAAAAGGAGAGGTAGTCGACTGATTTCCTCCCTTCACTGTCTGGACATGAAGATCTCTAGGGCGAATGCGGACCCTCTGCTCATCTCGGGATAAAGGGAGGCTTTTCCCATAGAATCAAGTTCGCACAAAACTTTTTTGACACGAAAATGGTTGTCCCTATTATGACTCACTTGGAATGTGCCTAAAGGTGTGTTGGATATTATAATATGAAACCAAAGTGTGTCCAAATGATCATACGAGTACAAATGTGTCACTTCGACACCAACATTTTTGCGTGCAGCAGCTCATCATCTATTTCGAATGGAACGCTAGTTGACCTCAGGATATAACCTGATGTCAACTAACGACAGTCGGCTAATCTGCGCAGCAATGCCGAAATAATGCAGTTCACACAGAGACCTTTTCACACATGACGTACGTGTCAGAAATTCGACACGCCTTTGGGCACATCCCAAGTGTGTCATAATAGGGACAAAAAAGTTTTGTGCGTTGGATCGGTTTATTCGCGCTAACTGGCGTACAGCGCAGCCAA